AAGTAAAATTAGTTAAAAATAGTTAATCCTCACTAATGCAGAACATACACTAGAACAACAACATAAACAGGTTCTATTGCATCTAGGAAACCAACTCACATGAGGCTGGAAGGTAATTTAAGTCATTAACTCTAGAGTCTACTCAATTAAGGAAAAAGTTGACTGCAGCAGAATTTCTTCTTCTTCTTCTTCCCTTTTTTTTTTTTTTTTTTTTGTCAGACAGTTTTGAAAAAGGAACAAATAAAACAAACATATCCCAATACATGTAAGATTAATTCAACTATCAGTATCAGCAGGCAAACTTGTCTAGTGGCACAAGCGAGAGTATTAATGCAACATCAAAACATTTACTGCAACTAGTAATTAGCCTTGTGATTCCAGACTATTTAATACTACAGTTAAATTACATACCGCTTGCCTAAATGCAATGCAGACGTCCCTTGCCATTTGCTTCTCGGTAGGTGTCAGTAAAACAGGATACCTCACCTGCCAAATGAATTAACAAGCAAACATCACTCTTTCAACCCCCATTCAGCAATAGCAATGTATCATTTCACCCCCAGTATTTCCTGCTTGCAGCATGCTATCTGTTAAGGGATTGGTCATCACATCACTGATTGAACCAGGCATTTTAACTATTTTCATTCTAAATATGTAAACAGAAAAACTATCAACAGTGGTATTCCAAATCAATTCAAGTGAAAAAATGTGCCTGGTGTCATAGATCATTTCATAATAAAAGATTTAAAAAGATTACAAGAAATTGGAAATCAAAGAATTCATATTATACAGAGAGAGAGAGATAAAGAGATAGAGACATAGAAAAGAATCCGAAGAACAAGAGGAAGATCAACCATACTATCTTACATGCAGTACTTACTTCCTTGCCATCAGGATTTCTCATGACAACACCATCAACAACAGGAGACTTCCTTGCCTCAGCATGCGCATATTCAGGGCCCACTGTATACACCTGTATTATTTAAGGAGAAGAGGAAACAATTACTTATGAAAATGAACCATTTAAGTGTCTGAGTATACAACCAAGTTAGGACAAAATAATGGTCTCAAACAGAGATTATGCACAGGGAGAATTGCATGAGCAGTCTCTATTAACAGTGCATAAGAAAACTCCATTCCATGCTGTCAGTAAATATGATGACATGAAACTTGAAATGTTAACGATATGTTAGATTAATGAGAGCATTTAACCTCATTTTCATGTCAACTTAGAAACTATGAAAGATCTCAAACACAAAGCATCCAACCTTGACATCTGTTCCTCCAGTTGGCATGAATTCTTCGTATATATAAGAGCCTTCACGTCTCACTCTTCTAACCTCTGGATGGAACTCACTAGAGCGGTTACCAACCTGAAATCAGAAAATGAAAACATATCAATCACGGATAATGAACATATAAATTCTAAGAACTCATAAATACAGTAGTCTCAGATTTGATACGTTGCTAGCCACATTCACATATCGGTAGGATGATAGTATAAATGCCCATATTTTATTTGGTAGTCATGTTATGACTAATGACTAATAAGTAGTAAAGCTGATTTATCCAAACCTCCTTAAATCCAGATTTCCTTTTTTATGGTCAAAATTACCCCAAAACTCAATCTGACCACAAAGTGAGTAAGTTTGGTTTGGGTAGCAAGAGGCAAAAAAGACTATCCATCAACCAAGACTTCCCTAACCTTTCTCATAGATGAAATCACCTTGGTTTCAAATACTTTTTGTATCAACTCATTTGTGAATACAGACAAAACTCTCTTTTGAGCATATCATACAATAGGCAGTTAAAAGCTCACCTTCCTAAACAATTCCTTCATTCCTCCACCTGCCGAACTTGGATAATATATCATTATACTGTGATCATCCCCTTCATAGAAGCAAAAGAAAAGAGTCACTATCTGGTGCAAGATAAAAGTTATGAAAAAACAACAATAATAATGGATACTCCTGACATTCTCTCTGTGAGTAGTGACTAGGTTTAAGGATTTAGCAAAAAACAAGGTTCAAACAGAAGCCAATATGTGATGACAAAAAATCAATAGAACAACTTATTCATATATTTAGAAATAAGCTGACCTTCAACAGGCTTCTCCACAAATGGCTTCCAGAAACGATGACCATGAACCTCAACAAAATCTTCTTCCTCAATAAAATAGTCCAGCTCCTGATATGGTACTTCTCTATTTACAAGGGCATATCTGGGAACAGGGACTCCATGCATTTCAAGATGCTTGAATCCACCGAAGTTATTCATTAGTTATTGACATTCTATTTCTATAAACAAAATATATCAACAAAGAACAAGAAAAAAACATTAAGTTCGTGCATGAAGACTCGTCCACTTTTGACATAGTAATTCTCTATCAAGAAGAAATTCATAAGCATACCTCATACACCTTCCTACGGTCATGGAGAAGGTGTTGCTGCTCCAACTCATTCACTAGAAAAGGTCTGGATAAAAAGAACAGATACTTAGATAAATAAACTACTTTTCCTTACAGATGAGACTAAAAAAAAAAAAGGAAAAAGCCCTCCATGAATTCAAAGAACAAGGGAAAAGTATGTGAAGAGACCCTTTTAATGCAGTGAAAAGGTTCCAAAACCGAACTGAATAGACTTGTGAGTTTCACAGTACACACACACACATACATATGACGGTTGCATTTCATAGAATCTGTACATGAAGAACAACATAGCTTACTTCCTTAAAGCAGCATATGCCTCAGCCTTTTCCAGAGGATAGCCGGAGGAATGAAAAGCAATCAAGCAGTCACAAATTGGCCAGCTGTAAAATACAGTAACGGGGTAACAAATTAGTCACCTAAAATTTATGTATTGAAATAATCACCAAGTTGATGACACCAGAATCTGTCAGCAATAACTATTCATGCCGCAATCACAGGCTCATAAACAAACAAACATTTCATACTGTCACAAAAACACATAACAGTTAAGGAAAACAGATACCTTTCAATCGGATCTTCAAGAATGACCTTGTCCCCAAAATGTGAGATCTACCAGAAGATTCGCAACAAGACATGTATGAGATATAGCATAAAAACTGGCACTGCGTATATATTTGCGTAAAAAAATGATGAGCAACACTAAAACATTACAACGTGAAAAAATTTATGATTAGATCCAACTCGCAACAAGAACAAATTTGAGACGCAAATTGAATGAAAACAAAAGCAGTACCTCAAATTCACCAAATGCTTGTAGCCTTTCGAGAATCTCTCCCATCGGCGCTGAGAACACCTACAGAAAACGAAGAGGCTCATTGCATACATACATTGTTCAACTTATTTGCATCTCTGGTTTCTAAGTGTGTACAAAAATGAGCAAAAAGGAAAAGAAGAACCTCGGAGCCGCATTTCACCTTCTTTTCCATCACACAAACACCAATCTTTATCTTCTCTCCCATTTCTCTTTCTTGTTCCTCCTTCATCTCTCTCTATCACTTTCTCTCGCTCGCTCGCCAAGCTCTTTCACTGGTTCTGCCTCAAATCCAAAGTAAAACATCAAAGAAGCTCATCAGAGACTCACCGCCATTCTATTTATATATATGCGTGTGTGCGCGTGTGTGTATATATTAATGCATTGGATGTGACTGTGCGAGTGTTAAAGATTACCACATAGGCAGTTAGGCAAGGGTCAGCTGGCCACGGAAACTCGGAGCGCCGACTCCAACTCGGGCGAGTCACGGGAAATAGCGGAGAGAAAAGCTGAGGTGCTTTTAAGAGCCAGTGGAGTAGAGATTTCGGAACAGATAAAAATGAAAAAAATGAAAAAAATGAAAAAAAATTGTATGGGATGTGTTTGGATTTGGAGATAAACATTCTTTGGATTCTGGAATATACAGCAAAAAGGAAGGACTAGGACGTGGAAAGGTATATCTCATGTGATTTTTTGGATTTTTCCAAATGCAAAGTGGTTGCTGTCCAACTCCTCCACTCTCCAGTCCCATCCCTCCCTTCACCGAGCTGGGACTATCAGCTCTGGCTTTGGTCTTTGGATGTGGTCCATTTCTTTTACTTTATTAATAAGCTTTTTTTTTCTTTCCTTTTCCTTTTGCACCTAAACTAATACTATAAAAAATAAAAATAAAAAGTATTTATTAATTTGACTAGTGCTTTGGTGTGTTGGTTTTGTTGAGTACCTAATAATAAAATAATAATTTGATTTGATTGGAGGACAACGTTCCAGATCGTCTGACCAAAATCCACTGGATTCTGGCCATATTCTACATACCCTCTTTTTTATTCTTCCGACTAATTCATTAATAATTAAACTTGATTGTTCTTTAAGTATATCCGCGGAATTTATTTATAAATTCGAATAAGTTCCAATTTTAATTTGCATGTGTTTAGTTGTGGTGGGCCTTGTGGCCCAACTTTAATTTGTGCACACATGGCATTTTCGTTGGTTTGCATTGCAAAACTTGGACCCGCAATTTTATTTTTCATGTACGATGTGACAATCGTTTATTGGACAGCTAGGTCGACTTGGCGTCAACGCTTTGAAAATTCATAAGCATGCTATTATTGAATAACTATTAAACAAAGTCAAAGTGCAACGTGGTGCAATTTCCAGACGTCAAGGAAAGGAAAGATCCTCCGTCTAATCCAAGGGCCTGGCTGGGAAGACTCAGGCTGCAGCGGTAGTAGTGGGGACCACACCGTCGCCCCTGGTATTGGTCGACAACAGATTAATTAAGCACAAGAGCATTCACAGCTAAATTAAGAATTAGTAATATTGACAAACGAGTTAGTGCGGTTGGTTAGGGAAGTGAACCCGCTCTCTTGCACTAAGTTCGAATCTCCTGATAAATTTCATTAATTTATATTATCATTTGTATAAAATAAATACAGAAAAAGGCAGCTGATTAAGATTTTAATTATCATTTATCGCCCCGAACTCCACATTCAGCCTAGTGCACCTTTCAGAAACATGAAATCACATCCAGATAAGAAGATCAAATAAAAAACTCTTGTGATTCTGTGAATGCATGCCGCACTCACAAAAATAGTTTTTAAGACGACGCAGATGTATTTGTTCGTTTCTTGAAAGCAAACGTATTTGGTCGTGACTCAGACTGACAAACAAAACTGTTTAGGTAAAGAAAACAAGGGGGTTTTCACGTTTAGTACTGTACTGTCGGTCTTTCATAGCCATCAGCGGCAGCCTCTTCATCTGGACCATAGCAAGTTTGTCAAAAACGTCCCTCGCATAGATAACTTAAGCACCAACCGCTTGTTTGCCAATACTAGTTCCTGCAATGTATCCGCCAGACCAAGCGTTCTGCAGCAAAAACAGCCCAAGGAGAACAGAGTGATGATTTTGAACTAACATATGATTATAAATGGCATGGTAGAACATTTTCAAAATCTAACATGAGATGGGGAGCCAGACCATTAATCATGAATTTTATCCCTTTGACTATTACATTATGCCAGTTGCAATTTCGATTTTAGAATGAAGAAAAAAATTGCATTGGCCATCCTTTGATTTGGGCAGAACAAAATAATGCTTAAACCTGTCAAGATTATCAAGGACAAGGTCAAAGTCCACTTTGATGATGGACGACAAGATATTAGATGGGAAAATCTCCACCAATGGTTCTTAGGAGTTGAATGTTCGACCATGAAAACCCAAATCTTGAGCAAGGCAATATTTTCAACACCAACAATTTATTTCTTACTGCCAGACTTTGCATGCAGTGACTTTACAAGAAGCCCTCTGAAAATTTAAGTTAATATTCAAACATACTACAGTTATAGTATTAACAACCTGTTAAATGGTTATAATTTGTCATTTCTTTTACATGAGAGGTCTTTTACCTGAAAATTGAAACCACCAGTTATCCCATCAACGTTCAGTACCTGAAAACAGATATTTACTTTTCAGCACCATAAGTAGGACACCATGTGCCTGTATGCGCATGCACGGGTGCAAGTATGGACTGTTTTTTATTTTTTTCCAATGAACAACACAAGTATTTCCCATGCACACTACCTCTCCAGCAAAGAATAGATGTGACTGGATTTTGCTTTCCATTGTATTCATCGATATCTTCACAAAAGCAAGAAACACAATTACACTTCTAATGAATGTGTGTGTGTGTGTGTGTGTGTGTGAGAGAGAGAGAGAGAGAGAGAGAGAGAGAGAGAGACCTCAGAGAGTGGAACACCACCAGCAGTGACAAATTCATCCTTATATTGACTCTTCACCATGAAAAGAAGCACAAATTTCAATAAGGTGCAAAAGATTTGTCTTAAAAGAAAAAACTCGGGGGGTGCAGAGCAGGTTTACCAAAACCAACCTTTCCTGTAACATAAAAGTTACAATGCTTTAACATATGTGCAAGAGAAATTAATGAGTTCTTTGAAATGGAAGCCCACAAGGTATCACCAAGTAAACCCTACACATGAATATTGAAAGAAAAAAAATATCTATGAGGCTAATTTCTCTTTAAGAGTGCAACATATCATGTTTAAGCTTGGAACAAAAATCAAACCTGGCGACCCAATATATATATCCAAAATCTCTTCACAAGGCCAAATTCTGAAGGATATGAATTGGACAGTTTTTGCTTCTGCAGGGGTATAGGCAAAAAGCAAGAGAATTGTCAATTCAAGCACAACAAATTGCAAGAGTATAATGTAAGTGGGATTCAGAATAAAATTAAGTGTATTGTGTCACAGTCCTAACATAAGTGAATATATAAAAATGGGCATACGTCTTCAGTTGATAAGATTGTTTCCAAATTTCGGAAGTTCGGTCTCAAGGCATTATGTCATTACTGGTTCACACCAACTTCTTCCGAACCCAAGTATTTGTAAGTCCACCTTCTTATTCAAAACCCAGATACAGAGTTGGGTGTGCTCAATTATAAACCAACCTAGCCCCATCGTTACTCATAAAGAAACTAGTTTCACTTTGACCATGACATTTGATTAAATAGAAATCTACAAGTTCACCAAGGAAGCAACAAGAGTTAAGACCAAGGACTACCGCAAACCGATTTTTGTGTTGGGTGAGGATTGACTTCAGATCTTCTATATGCACATCAGGTGTGAAGTCTACAATAAGAGTCCCTGCATCCAGATGCTACCAAGTTGAGAAAAAAACAATATTTCGAAGGTAATGAAAAGATGTGGCCGGAAAAATAAAATAACAAAAGAAGAAATCTCCTTTCCTTTGTATCCTGAACTGGATAAAACACAGGCACCCCAAGCAGATAACCGAAGAATTGCAGGCCCACTGAATCCCCAGTGCGTGACCAACACAGGTCCAACCTACAGTTCCAAATATTTTCAATATGGCACATGAATTATTGAAAATCTAAATGATGGCAACAAATAAAACATGCCTGCGTAAGCTGTGGTATATTCCTTCGGGAATTCTCTATTTTCAGTGTTGCCTTAACTTTAGGGAATGTAATCTGAACGTGATAAATAAATAAAAAGGGTTAAGAACCATACACAAGCTTGTTTCTCTCAAGTACACATGTTTCATAAGCAAATATAAGACAATGATGGTTAATAATTTGATACGCAGTAAGCAAAGGATTTTGATCATTATGAAAGAAAATTACCCCTGACAAATCGGCCAGCCGTGGATCCTCAATCTTGAAAGTAAATAAGCTTGGTACTGGATCTACAATTGAATGACCAAGCTGAGATGCAAGACTGTAACCCTGTCACAAGAACAAAGACATTTCAACAAACTCAATCCATCAACATGACAACGCAAAGGAATAAGGATCTATCACAACCTGCTTGCTATTACCGCTGGCAATCAAAAGATAATCAGCTTCAACATATTCAGGGGAACTGAAGGTACGCTTTTCAATCCCTAGAAGAAATTTCCCTCCAGCAGTAGGAGATGCAGTTATCACAGCTTTTCCAGTCTGCAGAGAAACTGGTTGAGGAACAAATTTCAGCGCAAACAACTTGCAAGTCATAATGTTAGAACTCTGCCACTCAAGCATCCTGATTTGGATGTTAAATAAATATTATAAGACCGAGAAAGGAGTAGAGAGGACTAGTTGTCTATGAAATGACAACATACTTGGTGATTACTGAAAATAACTTCTTGCCAAATAAAAGCCATCTTAGATGTAGCTCTTCAACAAGAGCCCTATAAGGGTTAATACACAAAGGAACAGACTTAAGTGATCAAATAGCAGCATCATTCCATCAGTGGACAAACATACCTCCCAGTCGTGTCGATTCAGACATGAGACAATCAATTATTGTAGACGAACTGTTGCTGACAGGAAATACCCTTCCATCGTCCTCAATCTACGGTCAGCAGAGAACAAATTAAACATGCACAATAAACACATGTTCAAAGAAACTGACATGTATCTTGGTACCAACCTTCAGCCTAACCCCATGTTCAGAAAACCAGGACATGGTATCAACTGGCCCATGCACATTGAAGAATGATCCTCTCAATTCTTTATGACCCCTAGGGTAATTTTCTGCCAACATCTACGACCAAAATCATCATTCTGAACAAAACCAAAATGTATGCATGCAAGATGTTCTAATTTCAATTTTACCCCATGTATTTACTACCTTATTATCAACACAATGCCCATTTGTCACATTGCATCGGCCTCCTCCAGAAATTTTTACCTGCCAATAACAAATGGATAATAAACCAACTTGGCTTAATAATCTCTGATTTTTGCAGTGAAAAAAATAATAATAAAAAATAAAAACTCGTGAAAAGAGACTTACCTTGGATAGAGGCTTTCCTTTCTCAATGACCACTACATTGAGATTAGGAGCCAGAGTTTTAGCTCTAATTGCTCCATAAACCCCAGCTGCTCCGCCCCCAACTACCACCAGTAGCTCTTCAGTTGTCTACCCATCAAACAACTCAAACAAATAAGTTCAAAATCTTCTAAAGAACATGAAGATAAAAAATTGCGTCTTAGAAACAAAGATAGATGAAAAAATTATTATCATGCTACCTTATTTTGAGCTCTGGGGATCGCAGTCGAAGTAAATTTTCTTTTATTCAGGGTTGAAATAAGACCGCCATTGTTTTTGGTGGTAGTTGCAGCTTCTGAGCAGACCCTGGAGTGAAGGAGGACGAAGCGCGCCAAGGTGAAGCTCATAGGCGCTCCCTCCTGTCTGTTCGATTTACGATGCCATTTGCTTGCACCGTCGCTGCGGATAAAGCAAAAACGGTAAGGTGTGTGATTATGACGTGGCAGGAGTCTTATAGAACGACGTGTCGTTGCTATCCCTCTCTTTTTTGGGTCAAACTCCTAACCCTCTCTTGGTTTTCAATTCTTCCCCCAACGGCTTCAATACATGCACACAGACGTATATACGTATATGAGCCGGTTCCTCTGCAACAGTAGCATACAAGCATGGAAGCGATGCATGTCTTTAGCACAAGGCTGCAGCAACATGCGCAAACTCAAAGCCACCCACGCCATCTTCATCACCTATGGCCTCCACCTCAACAACTACGCCATCAGCAAGCTCATCGCCTTCTGCGCGCTATCGAACTCTGGTGACCTCGCTTATGCGTCTCTTCTGTTCAACCAAATCCAGACCCCAAATTCTTACATGTACAATACCCTCATCAGAGCCTACTCTCGCAGTTCTCAGCCTCATTTGGCTGTGCATTATTTCCTTCTCATGTTGAAACAGAGCAGCTTGGGACCCGATAATTATACTTTCAACTTTGTCATCTTGGCTTGCGCAAATTGCTCTTGGCTAGTTTCGGGCAGGCAAATTCACAATTGGGTTGTTAAAAATGGGTTGTTTTTAGTGGATGCTCATGTTCAGACAGCCCTTGTTAGACTTTATGCCGAGTGCAAGGTTTTGGATGATTCCAAGAAGGTGTTTGATGAAATTCCTGAGAGAGATGTTATGCAGTGGAATGTTCTTATGAATGGGTATGTTAGGTGTGGTTTGGCTTCTGAGGCTTTGAAGGTTTTCCGGGATATGTTGGTAACTGGGTTTGAGCCTGATAACTTCTGTGTAGCTACTGGGCTCACGGCTTGTGCTCATTTGGGGGCTCTTCGGCAGGGGAAGTGGATTCATGAGTATGTTAAAAAGAGGACAGGGTTGAAGTCAGATGTGTTTATCGGGACTGCGCTTGTTGATATGTATGCCAAGTGTGGTTGTATAGATTTGGCTGTGGAAGCCTTTGAGGGAATGCCAAAAAGGAATGTGGTCTCATGGGCAGCTATGATTGGGGGGTTTGCAGCACATGGGTATGCAACTAATGCAATTCATAGCTTGGAGAGAATGCAAATGGATGATGGTCTAAGGCCTGATGGGGTCGTCCTTCTTGCAGTGCTAATGGCTTGTACTCATGCAGGTCTCCTGGAGAAAGGTAAGCTTCTATTAGACAACATGAAAACTCAATACGAGATTGTGCCCAAACATGAGCATTATAGCTGTGTTATAGACTTGCTCTGTAAGGCAGGTCAGTTAAATGAAGCACTTAAGCTTATCAGAAGAATGCCCATGAAGCCACTTGCTTCTGTCTGGGGTGCTTTACTGAGTGGGTGCCGAATCCATAATAATGTGGATCTTGCAGAGCTTGCTGTTAAAGAACTTCTACAGCTAGAAAATGATGTCAGGGGAGAGGAAGTCGGTGCTTATGTTCAGTTATCAAACATTTATTTGGGTGCACGGAGAAGTGAAGATGCAATCAGGATACGGAAGATGATCGGTGAAAGTGGAATCAAGAAGACACCAGGATGCAGTATGATAGAGGTGGATGGGAAGGTTAATGAGTTTGTCTCAGGAGACGTATCACATTCACATCAAGCATGGATATGCGCAATGCTGGACCTAATATGTGCTGACTCAATTCAGGACCCTTTCTAGATTATGTTGAATGGTTTGCATACTTAACAGTTCTGGATCCTCAAGGGTTATGACTTCTCATTGCCCATGGCTGCTCAAATGTTCTTATCAAGCTGGTTTTGCATAGACTTCACCCGCTACTGGGCAATGTCTGAAGGAAGATGCATGGTTAACGTAGAATTCTTTCCTATAACCGATCCTATATACCTTATTTCATATTATTAACCCTTTAATCACAAGCATTGAGATGACAAGTATTCCCGGAAGATAATTATAATTTAAAGATTTATCTTTGCAGGATGATGGACTCTCAGTCTTCGATTACTAAGTGCTTTTGGTCACCACCTGCAACAGAGACTGGTGCGATGGTAAATCTGCTTAAATTTCTTCATCTGATCATGGAAACACTACTGGATTTAATAGCACCGTCCCGATTTCCTAATGTAAATCAACTCCATGAATTATATGTTATAGTTTTAATGAGATTATAGATGGATTGGTTTCACATAGTTCTACTTACTGATCTCAATTATAAACTTCAACCTCGCATTAGTAACCATACAATTGTGCTAAATGAGACTTGTCTTATTTGTTTACATCAAGAATATCAAAAAATGAACAAAGTAATTGGGTCTAGCCCTGAAAATTTTCACGAACCAATTTACTGAATAATCATCTGGAAAAGGCATTTCCTTTGCTTTTGTGCATGATTTGCTAATTGCCCTCTGTAGCGATGTGAATGATGAGTTATGGTTATTCCACTCTACTTCCTATCTGTGTTTGCAAATTTGAGCAGATTCGGAACTGAATGTATAGAATAAGTGGGCATCTGATGTTCGCAGGTTTTGCAAATTCAGTCCAGTCACAAGTCACTTCCTGCTGGTGAAGGACACAAGACAACCATTGTTAAATCAGCATGGATATACAAATAAACAAGGTATATGTTTTATTACATTCAGACATGAAAACGTTTTCATTAAAACGTTTTTGGATTTGTATATGTGGGTCTATTGATGACTTAAATATGTTGAGAAATAATATGCATCACATTATCAGTAAATATGGTACAAAATAGTTTCATTACAATTCAAAAAGCTTAGTAGAATCACCGATATATCTAGCATGTTTAGGACCATCAAGATGAAGACATGAAAACCTGTTAAGACCTTGAGAACTACGAACCTTCAGATGAAGAGGGAACCACAACAACATGCATATCATGGTTGTTTGGAGGAAGATGTAAACGAATGGGATACAGTTTCCCATTCAGTGGATTACGAGAACACACAACAATTTCCTCTAGCCCAGTCTCTTCCTTCAACTTTTTCTTCAAACCCTCTACCTCGCTACCCTTGAAGGAGATGGAAAACTCTTCAGCTGAATCCTCGACATCTCCTTTATCATTAGCCACATGATAGTGGATCATTCTCCCTACATCTTTCATCGGAGAACCATGATTGAATGACTCACTTGACTGCATTCAAGAACAAACAACAAAATCATCCAACTTATCACAAAAAATACAATCAAATTTGATAGCCACGGAAAAATTAGAGTCGTCTTGTCTATCAAAACAAACCTCTTCTTTGGAAGTTCGCGGCGACCTAAGCTCAATCTTGGATGGAGATGTTGGTTCTGTAGGTTCTGCAAGCAGTTCAGGTGGTGGAGGGGGCGGGGGTAGAGCCACTGGTCTATGTTCTGGAGATTCAGGCTGACGTTCTGGAGATTCAGGCCGACGTTTTGGAGATTCAGGCCGAAACTCTATAACATCTATATCCCACAGAACCCAGTCCTGGCTTGCAGTTCTATGAGGGACATCATGGGTGATAGAGTTTCTCCAAGGCGGCACACCCCCATTTGCCCGCAAGAATTGGCCGTAGGGCGTCTTGAGCCTGACCTGACATCCCTCTCTTATAGGCTCCCATTCCAGAGAAGAATCCAATCTCTTTGGCAGGGTTTGTAGGACTTTCTTGCCTCTCAATCCTAGCCTGAATGGCATGTTGGCGGCTGTCAAATACTTGTCATAACAGCTTTTGAAACGTAAAGTGTTTGAATTTTTGACAAACTCCACGGTCCATCTCGCATTCCTCACCGTTCCATCCCGATCTTGGCATACCGACTCATGATCGTCGTCTGCTAATAGATATTTGTCGTGGTGGCTTCGTAAGCGTACCACTCTGGCTGTTTTGAACAACTCCATGTTTGTCTGAAAACAATAAGATTGATCAAGTACTATGATTAAGCACAGAACACAGAGAACCGATGGATTGAACAAAATGTATAACGTTAATTGTGAAGAGTTAAGAATGGTGATTAGTTTTTGTCTGAAATTTTGAAATGTAATTTGTGTACCTTGAACTAAAACGGCAAATGATATGAAGCAAATTGGCGTCTTGCGTGATTTGTTTGTTAATGGCAAGGAATTAGAGGCAAAGGTTGACAAAGGTTGAGGAAATTAAGGAAACTATATATGAGAGGAAGATATATTAAGCCTCAGGGATGGTCTTATCTTATGGTTGAAAACCCAAATCAAAAAAGGTCGTTCAGAAAACAAACGCAAATACTGGATTTGGAGAAGCGGTGGTTGGGCATCTATTAGGCGAAGTGATCCAAGTTCAAATTCCAAATTTATATTTTCTGTTTTTTATTTTTTATTTTGTGTGTCTCTCTAAATAACACCATCACACGACTAAGTTGACCCAACAATTATTTTACACGTGCTTTAATACTCGGAGAAATCTTTGTATGTTTCGAATACACCAACCAGTACACATAGGACATTTAGAAACATTCTATACTCTAGCACTTGACCTAAAAACCCATAAACCATAACATGCATTGCTTTGTTGGGTGATGTGCATTTTTTTAAAAGACTTGCAATATATCTCTTCACCGTATCAATTACATCTGATCTAATTTCATGGTACTATTTATTCATTTGTTCAAACGATGGGCGCTTGTTAATTTATTTGTCATTACAAATGCAAAAAGCCAACAAATTGCTAAATAGAATAAGAAATTGAGTCAGTTGTATAGAAAAATATGGTCTGACCAAAATACAGGTTACCAAGTTACACAAAGATCTTTTCTTTTTCTTTTTTCGATTACGAGTTACATTAAGATCTCGAGATCATAAGGTGGCAAATTCCAACATCAAGCATGCTAATTTTTTTTCTTAGATGAAGGTGAATTCTGTTTGGGCAATGTAAGATCAATCTCCAGTGGAGATCCGGGCTCTGTTTGATCATGATCATCATCACCACCAGTACTCCTAGCGTTATGGTCACTATTAATATTTGTTTGTTCTCGTTGTCGTTGTCGTTCTTGTTGTTCTTGTTGTTGTTGATCATCCAGACGAATCTCCACAACATCCACATTCCACAAAATCCAATCTTTTGTTGTACTTCTCCAGTTAGGATTGTCGTGCGAGATGGAGTCTTTCCACGGCGGTAAGCTACACCCATTTGCACGCAAGTATTGCCCGTTGGCTGTCTTCAGCTTCACCTTGTATCCTTCTGCCACGCTCACAGGCTCCCATTCCACTATTGAATCCAATGTCCTCGGTAGGGTTTGCAATACCTTCTTGCTTTTGATTCCCAGAAGGTATGGCGTGCTTAAGGCTGTTAAGTATTTCCCAAAACAGCTCTTCAATCGTAACGTGTTCGAATTTTGGCTGATCAACTCCACCGTCCACCTTGCGTTCTTCACCGTGCCGTCGCGGTTCTGCCAAACGGAGACTTCATCGTCAGCGGCCAAGAGGTATTTGTTATGGTGGCTTCGGAAGCGTACCACCTTGGCTTGCTTCAGAAACTCCATAACATATGCATGCACTGATCTGAACACAACAAGAATTAATTTTACGTCCATCGATATTATTACATGTGATATTAACATGCATGCATGCATGATTGAACAAAAAAAGGTGTAACATCAATATTTTCTAATATATCTGTGCTAGCTTGAAATTAAATGCAATTAATTTGTACCTTGAATCAATATGCCTAGTCTTTTGGTGGCGGTCGCGACTGCGACGGGAGCTTATGGAAGAACTAGAAATTAAGGTGGATTGATGTGTTTATTAATGGCAAGGGAATGGAGATTAAAGACGCAGAGGCGGCCTGAAGTTGAGGAAAGTGCTTGAGGAAACTATGAGGGAGAGGTATATAATTGAATTTAAAGGGATGGTTATGATTTTATTTACCAAAAGAAAAAAATGAAATGAAAATTTTAAGAATTTTAAATGAAGCTTACGCGTGAAAGTAAAGAATTTTAAGAATTTTGCACATGTCCCTCACTCATAGATGTCGGCTAATTGGGTAAGAACTAATTAAAGACCATATAAATGTGTGGTTCTTAATTCGTAGGGAACTAGTTAAGATTTTTAATTCGTACGGGACTAGCATAAGTTAAATGTGGGGTTTATCCTCTTCGAGTTTGATTACAAGGTCCACTTCCCAAACAATACTAATACGTTCTCAAAATCAGGATGGTAGTTGATTCAATTTCAATTCTTTGCTTCTCCAAGTAAATTTTATCAGTTAATTTAATGTTAGATTGCTCTGTTATTGTAATAACCCTTTATAACTAGTGACTTTTTTTAGCTGAATTATGAATGCAATCTCATAATCTCTCAATAACAAAAAATCATCAATTTCACTAACACATAAGAAATTAAGAAAAATATGTGAATTTGATTCGCTCAAAACCAAGCGGAGAGGGTAGTTGATTCAATTCCAATCCCTTACTTCCCATTCCAAGTAAACATGCCATAATATTGAAGCTATTCTTGATGTGAGTTATGTTGTCACATTAAAAATTAAACATAAATGCATGACCATTTTAATCTTCAATTTATAATTATCATGATCATAAAATTTGATTTTCAATTATAATTCCAATATTTATCTCACTTATTTTTGTTCAAATTGAATACAAAAACAGAAAACTAGATCTTCAGACTTCTAATTGTTGTGGAACTTATACAGTCTACTTTCTTTGTCATTCTTTTGGCACAAACAAGATATTAAAAAAGAGTTATTTACACTAATATACATCATATATTATAACAATTTCTCTGCCATGGGAAGGGCAATTTAAAAGATGGGTGATGATTTCTGTCCACAAAACACACTTCATCTAATTCCAATGTTACATCTAATTAGTTGATTTTGGCACATCATTAGGCCCAAGCCAATTAGCTTAATTAGTAATTAGCTTTTTTAATTGATTGAGGGGTATACAAGTGATTTTCAGCTAACCGTGCAACTGTGTATAAATATATGACTCCGAGATACTCAAAAATCAGTTCAACAAGATCTACATTTGGAGAGAGAAACATTCAAATTTTACTTGGTCTTCTAATCCCAACTCAGTCTTATCAATCGCAAATCAAACCTGCTTTTTGATGATCAAACCAAACCAATATCTTATATTCATTATTTTCAACAAAACAAACACTTGAATCAATCTGGATTGATGATCATCAAAACCATCGATGAATGTACATTCTACCCTACAATGACGATCAAGGGAGGCACAAGCCAAGCCTGTGCTGCGTGCAAATACCAAAGACGACGGTGCGCTAAGGATTGCCCTCTCTCTCCCCACTTCCCGGCCGATCAGCCCAAGATGTTCCAAAACGCACACCGTTTGTACGGCGTCTCCAACATAATGAAGATCCGAAAGCAAGTTCATCCCGAGCAACAAAACGAGGCGATGAGATCAATCATATACGAATCCAACATGCGTGCCAAATTTCCAGTCACTGGCTGCATGGGCATCATAAACCAATTGAACTTCCAATTACAACAAGCCATCGAGGAGCTTCGTTACGTCAGAACACATCTCGCAATTTGCAGGGACCAATGCCAATATCGAATCCCTCCCTCTCCCCCACATTACTCATCATGTCCTTCCTCGCAATTGCAACTAGGAATGCCTTCCAACAACGACGCCTCCGCCGCTCTGACAATTTATCAGCACCAATATCAGTATGCTTCTGCTGGTGGCGGTGCCGCAGGGATGTCATTTTTGGCTAATGAGTATCTTGCAAATGGACTTAGTGCGGTTTATATTGACGACAATGATGTGGTAAAACCTCTTAGGGTTCAACATCCTTATTATAGCGATAACAATGTTGATCAACTTATGGCTGTTCAGTCTAATTTGGTTTCCTCACAAGCCTTTCCTATCCACCAAGAAATGGATGTTCCTCACGATTACGATGACATTCCATTTGATACAATTGCTGATGATCGACAATCGTATATCGAATCCAAAGAAGCCTGTGAGTCAAGGTAATTTGTGCTAGCTCCACACATTTAATTAATACTAATTAATTAGATATGTATATACAAATTTATCTTATATATATGTGTAGTAGTTCGGAATAATTGCTCCCCTAAGAAAGGTCATCGGTTCCAGTCCTAGCAACCGTGTAGTGATTAACAAACTTAATTAAATTTATTTGCAGTGCTGAATCATCGTTCAGAGGTACCACTCAATCTATTGAGCATGTGTCACAGAATGATCTCAAGAGTGCGGCAGCATGCTTCAGCCTAACGAGTGTGAAATAGCTAGCTACGGGAACAAGTGAAGTTAATTTCAACACGAGCTCTCCTTAGTTTTCCATTATTTTTTAGTATACTTTATTTGTTTTCACATTCTAGTGTTAAAAACCTCATAGATTTGACATATTTGTTTGCACGATTCATTGAATAAGAGAGATTTTTTCATGGCCTGAATTTGATCTGATGTTTTGGATTTGAAAAAAAAAAAAAATATAGGAATGCCTTAGCATTGCTTATAGGGTTGCCAGTGCCACACTCCTCCCAAGATCGCATGTCTACCCAACTACATTCCAAATAGAAACTACCAGGGTTCTATATGGTTTGTTAGTTTATGTATAAAATTTAGTTTAATATCCATTCTAATTAGATTAGGCACCCAATATGGATTTAGCCAAGGGCAAAACTACATATAGGCTGTAGCTCTCGGTGCGACTTTTGTCCCAAATAGTTTTGACAACGCATAATTTTAAGATTTCGACATTTTAGCCATCCCCGCCAGCTCCCATGTGTGCAAGTTCTTCAATTTTTTGGCTGGCTAGTTAAGAAAAGTCATAGTTTTCTAGTTTAGATCATGTTTGCATCACTCAATTAAGTTCATTTTTTTTGAAAAAAATTTAGTCGTTCTTGGCTTGATTTAATTTCGTTTTTTCGGTTAACAAAATATTAGCCCACCCCTTTGATTTATACTTCCCCCTTGGAGTTAGCTACTTCATATTTGATGCATATGCCTCATATCTCACAGGTGAAGCATGATTTCATAAATGAAGAATAGACAAAAGTTGTATTTTGTCTTATATTATGTTAATATTCAGAAACAACCCTGCCGAATATCCTCATCAACTTGGATATAACCATCGTGCAGAATTTGCTCCAGGTGAAATGGTCAAGCATGAAGATAAATCGAACCCTGCACTGCACGAGTAGGATTTACGCACCGCCAACTTGAAACTTGGGCCAAATCAAACATGTTGGCGATAGATTGATATGAAGTACACATACAAGATTCCCCATGTCATTGCCAAATGGTGTTTCTGAATTTGTACTTAATAAAGAAAACAGATGTTTACATATATTAATCTAACAGATTTGCACACATACATCTAATTTAATCGAGGGGACGTCATAGGTTATAACTGAGGAAACTAGTTGTCAAAACAAGGCAGCTAACAAGGTCTAGCCTAATGAAAAAGAGTCTTGACTTTCAGACCAGAGATTTTAGATTCGAATCCCCACGATATCATAATTGTGTGTGTGTGAGAAATCTCAATTCTCTATAGTTTAGACTATCGTTTTGCTTGTCCTCGAAAAAAAAAGTCAAAAAAAGCCAAAGAACCGTCTTTCCATTTCATGTAGTCTTTTAACACCGTTGCAGGCCTTTGGTCTCTCATGGATTACTCTATTTGAAAATTTTGAAAGCTCACATCTCAAACCAAAGCCAGATAAATAAATAAATAGAACATTTATATTAATTAGAAATGCACACGACACACAAACTTCTGTCATACTACTAAAGTCAATGCACATTATATAGTACTTAACAAGTTAACATCATCAACCTTGTGCGTACTTAATTACTCTAGGAATTACATTAGAGGCCGAGAGGTGAAGGAAGAAGCTGTGTACTTGGAATCTTTTGCATTTGAAATCATGGATTTGGCAGCAGAGATAGGAAGAAGCGTGAGGACCTCTTTTCATCAACATGCATCGAGTTTCAGGAGAACTTCAGACGTCAGATCCATCAACGACAACAACGACGACGAAACTGAGTTGCAGTGGGCTGCAATCCAACGGTTGCCCACATTTGAACGACTTACTGATGAGCAAGATAACAATGGAGGGGGTACTATTACTAAGAGGGTGGTTGATGTTACAAAGCTAGGAGCCCTCGAACGCCACGTCTTCATGGAGAAACTTGTCAAGGATATTGAGGGAGATAACCACCGTCTGTTGCAGAAACTCAAACAAAGAATAGACAGGTAATTGCACTTGCTCAGTGATATGAATATCTATGAGAAAATTTTCTTTTATGAAATTATGAAATAGGATTACTTCTCGACTCATCGTTATTATACCAACTAGTTATTAGTTTAGAAGTGTTCTATGCTCTCTTTTTTTTCTTGAAAAATATTACAAGTTCGAATATCGTATTTTCATATAATAAAAATAAATAAATAAATAACATCACAACCATCACCATCACCATCACCATAATCATTGCATTTAAAAATCCTTTTTCAAATATCCGACTAACCTTCGCATTTTATTTTTAGGGTGGGATTGCAATTACCGACCGTGGAAGTTGGATACCAAAATTTGGTTGTAGAGGCAGAATGCGAAGTGGTTCAAGGAAAACCCCTCCCAACGCTATGGACCGCACTCAAAAGCATACTCTGTGTAAGTCTTTTCTTATTTTATTATTATTATATAAAATATATATATGTTCATGTACATATTGCTAAGCTAACCGGGCAATTGGCAATGCTTAACATGTGGAGGAATCTTGTTTTATATTAGAAGCAAACAAA